TGGCTCGGCTCGTACGGCGGCAAGCAGGTCGCGATCAAGCGCATGAAGAACCAAGAGGCGCGTATGGTCCAAAAGTTCATTGACGAGATCGTGCTCATGTCGCAGTACGTTCAACTCGATCTTCTCTCATTCAGCGGTGCAGTGACTAACGTTGACAACGTGTAGGATGAGCAGCGACTACATTGTCAAGTTTGTCGGTGCTAGCTGGACCCGTCCGATTGAGATCGAGTGCGTCGTCGAGTTCATGGACCTCGGGGATCTTCGTTCGTATCTTATCAACCAGTCGCCAGCGCAGTTTAGCTGGGACCAAAAGTACCAGTGTATTCTCGCCATCATCCGGGGTCTCGTCTACCTCCACACGTACAAGCCGCCGATCATCCACCGCGATCTCAAGTCCCGCAACGTTCTTCTTGACTCGGTCAAGGGCACCAAGCTCACCGACTTTGGTGCTTCCCGCGTCGCCGAGGAAGATGATCTCATGACCAACGGCATCGGGACGTACCAGTGGATGGCGCCGGAAGTTATCTCGGGCACCAACTATGGCGCGCCGGCCGACGTTTACTCGTTCGGCATCATCTTGTCGGAATTTGCGACGCACCAAGTGCCGTACGCCGACCTGCGTCACCCGGACTCGGGCAAGGCTCTCCCGCAGCACTACGTCTTGAACAGCGTTCGTGAAGGCAAGCTGCACCCGACGTTTGATGGCGAAGGCGTGCCGGCGTGGGTCAAGGACATTGGTCTGCAGTGTCTCTCGCTGTACGAAGAGGACCGTCCGACGGCGCTGCAGTTGTCGGCGATGCTGAGCCGCTGCAAGCCGTGAGCGTGCGGCCCTTGATCGTCTTGCCTCGTACTAGCTTCATTTCTGCTGTGACTCTATATTCAACGACATATTTCGAGGTTGATCAACACTGTGGTTGGTGTGATCTCGTTTCTCTAGCATGAGCAGGATCTGCGTGAGGTGCGAGAGGGTTATATTGCGACATCGATACAGTACTATGCGGCGGCTGCTCCTCCCGGCAAAGGCCCCGTGCAGCCCAGGGTGACTTGTTATTCACCCCTGGGACCGCCTGTGCGACGAAGTCGTGGACACGTCGCGGTCAGGGTACTACAATGTGCCCCTGGTCGCGATAGAGCAGCTGCGCCTGTCCATCCGAGCAGCCAAAGTCTTTGAACCATCCTAACCCTAACCCAACCACACCCAACCCAAAGAAAACACACGAGGTTTGGGGCTGGGTACACTTTACACATGTTCCCATACACTGACACTAGAGTTAATCTCATGTGGGGGC